ATCGTTCACTCGTATAATGTGTGTACGTTATAAGATAATGATTTATGAGCTTAATTTTTGCTAAAATTGAAAATACGCAAGCTGGGGATCTAATTTGAGAGGAAGAAAGGCGGAGACAGAAAATGGAACTGATCATTAATTACTAATTGATGTAAGTTTAATGTTGATACTTGTTGTTTATCTTTACTTGTACCATATAGGTATAGAATTTTCTCAAATATATAGTTCCCTTGAGCACCCTCTCATTCCTAAAAAAGAAGTCTCGTTGTGTACCAATAAAATTTTGTGACAAGGACAATTCGATTCATATTGGATATTGAAAATACTATTGGGTATGAAATTGAATTTGATCATGAATTGGAGAGGTACCATCGTATTATATTACAAATAAATGCCTTCTTCCATAAAATTATGGGTAGGAAAAGCGAAAAATATACTGTAATAGATGAGACTCTTCTCTAATAATGCTCCTTAAAAATCATACGTTATGTCAACATGTAGTCCCCACTTATTATGGTTATCTTTGATTATTAATCACTCATTAAAGAGTTCTCATAATTAAGGAAATATTTTACTTTGGAATATTTGTTTTGACTACACAAAATTTGATGAAATATCGAGGATTGAAATCCATAATCATATCAATCATGCAAGATTTTCTTTAATTTGAATATATATTGTGTCATCTGTGTGTCTAGCTTTTACGTTGTAAGATATTAACAGTTTAAAGTATACATTCGATAAACATGAAAATAAAAATATGGCTCTAATATATAAATCCTAACTTACTATACTTTACCATTTTCAACCTTGTTTTCTTACTTAGATTTAATGTAAGAAGGCTTAGACATCCCACACATGCCTCCTTTACTTACCTAATTAGAATTTCCCACACCTTAATTCAAATTAGAGTTTTCAGTTAATCACCTAATGGTTAGACTCTTATGCTACCACTATTCCTTAAGACCTGTTCACATTTACTTTATTTCAATTCACTTCAGTTCAGCTCTAATCAGTTCAGTTCAGTTCAGCTCTAATCAGTTTAGTTTAGTTCAGTTCAGCTCCTAATTTCCCTCTCTCATAAAATATTCATTTCAACTCAGTTCAGTTCAGTTCAATTCAGCTCCAATCAGTTTAGTTCAGTTCAGTTCGGCTCCAATCAGTCCAGTTCAGTAAATGTGAACATATCCTAATGTTCTTCACAATTCTATTTCCACATACTTCAATGCCATCTTTTACCGTTAACATATCCAATTAAATCTAAATATTTTAAAAATATACTTTGAAAAATCCAACAAAATCTCATGTGATAACTTTTTGCTATTTGAAACAACGATAATTTAGACAAAGTTTATTACTTTCAATGTTTGATCAATACATTACAAAAACATAAAAAACATTAAGAAAGAGAGATAATACAAACAGACTTTTAAGAACGATCCTTTCACTTATAATTTATTTTTAAAGGTATAATACTTTTGAGAGGAAAGCAAAAATACAAAAAATAAAAAGTGTACAAGTGTATAATGTACTAATAGTAGAAGTATTATGGTATGCACACGTGAAGGTGAAGCCAATCATGCATTGCATGAAAATTAGATTAGATCAGAGTTCCCTATGCTATTGCTAGATCCCTATGCTTCCCTCTTTCCCACACAATTCCATAATCCTACATACTGCCCAACACCATCTTTTTATCGCGTGAATTTTTGACCAGGTCTTGATCTTCTTGCTTTCTTTTTGGTTTTAATTTACCAAAGTTTACTTTTTTTGTCCAACTTTACATCTATTGGGAACTATCCACACCCTCACTATATACATACCCTTCCAATAAAACAAAATTTGGTGTAATATACTCAATAAATAACCAACAAAAGTTTGCTCAAGTGGTACGCTTAGGGGAGGTATCGAGTTCGAGCCTCGCCGTATGCAGAAACTCTTGTTGGGAGACTCACCCATCATAAGCTAGGTGTGCTACCCGGATATAGTCGGAGCTAAGATTCGGTGAACCGGGTGGACATCTTAAAAAATAAAAAAAAAACTCAATAAATGTATTTTTGTATGTATGTTGGTAGGATGTATATATGCATTGGAAATTAGAAGACCTAGACCTTATAATTCTTAGGTGGAAAATCTTCCAATGTTAGCAACTAAAGTATTATTGATGGTGAAAAAGACTTTCTCAATTTTGATCAAGTTGATTGAGAATTTCACTATTTTTTTGACTGATTGATTGAAAACTTTCTCTAGCCAAATGTTTATTTTATACACAATCGGAGTTAATCTAATTTATCGATCAATGAACTTAACAATAATTAGCTATGAGAGTGAGGGATACCTTAAGTGATTAGAGTTTCCCTCCTGATTCCAGATGATCATGGGATCGATTCTCATCACCCGTCCTTGCTTGTGGCTCTCTACACAAAAAAATAATAATAATAATAATAAAAAATAATAATAATAATAATAACGAGCTACAATTCTACAAATGTAAATGGTGCGTAGGTTAATACCTCCAGGAGTCCAGGCCAACTTAATTGCCATTAGACTTACTTTTTACTGTAGAATTGAAGAATGACTCGACACAGTCATTGCTTTTCAAATAAATTCCAATAAAACATATTACCAGTTGAATGTAATACATATTCGGCTCCAAAACTCAATAAATAATACCTAGTCAAAATATTCAAAAATGTGAAATTGGTCATCGGCCCTGTTTGGTAACTAGTTGGTAGTTGATTGATATAATTGATTGTATTAGCTGATTTGACTTACTGGTTATATTAGCTAGTTTGGCTAGCTGATTGTAAATAGCTAACTGTATAAAAGTGTGTGGTAAATAGCTGTTAATTATTGTTAGCTGTTTTAGTGCATTTATAGCTAAAAAGCTAATTGTTCAATAAGCTAATTTCAAAAAACCATTATAATGAGTTAATTAAAAAGCTTTTATAATGAGCTTTTTATAAAAATAGCTTTTTCACTCTAAAAAGTTCTTTTAATAAGCTAATTACCAAACGTTTAAATTAGCTTTTTTTAATTGGTCAAACCTCTAATAAGGGACAATAATTTAAAAGCTCTCCAAAAAGCTCTTTATCAAACAAGACCATCATGTAATTGCGATACAAAAATGAACCACGGAGTATTTGGAATGGGTTGTAGGAACTAGCATAGGAATAGTGAAAACTGCTTATGTCTAGAATTCTAGTCTTATATGTCTCAGTATCCCAATTGAATTATAGACGAGGTCACTTATGATCTTGATGTACCACTATAATAGTCTGTTCTCTTACGTTGAAATTCAATTCAGTTCAGTTCAGTTCAGTTCAGTTCAGTTTAGTTCAGTTCAGCTCCTAATTTCCTTCTCTTATAAAATATTCATTTCACTTCAGTTCAGCTCAGTTCAGTTCAGTTCAGCTCAATTCAGTTCAGTTCAGTTCAGTTCAGTTCAGTTCAGTCAATGAGAATAGACTCTAAGTCTATAAATCATACTATTACCTCCGTTACATATTATTTGCAACGATTTGACATAAAGTAGAGAGAAAAAATGTCTAATTGTTGCAAATAACATGTCGGAGGTAATACGTAGACGAGCATTGCCCATGTCATAAATAACATTATTAAAAATCCCTCATGTCGATTATTGCTCATGTCGATTATTGCTAAGGATTTCATCAATATACACCATTAAAAAGCCTATATAACTGTTATAATTGTACTATTAGAATATGAATATTAGATCCTACAAGCGGGATTATGATGTGTATCATGCTCGAGATAAAATTTCATATAAATGAACTAACACCATCTTTTCTTTACAAAATATTATATATACCCAAGTAACCCAATGCATGAAGTACATCATGTTCTCAAGTGTAGGATCTGAGCTTGAATTGTAAAATTAACCTTAAAATTTGACCTCTTCATTAGCCTATATATGGATATAATTCGTACCTAGTTATTGTAGTTTTAAGGTTCTTACAATAATTTAATCCTGAATATCACACCTAGGGCCTGTTCTGATTTATTGAATTGAACTGAACTGAACTGACTGATTGGAGCTGAACTGAACTGAACTAAACTAAATCGAGCTTAACTGAATTGTTTATGAGAGAAGGAAATTAAGAGTTGAACTGAACTGATTTGAACTGAAATTAAGCTGAAGAGAACAAACCCCTAGACAGAGTTTATACTTTTTACTAATTATTATTAGTTAGCTTTCATTTTCATTATATTTAAATAAATTAAAATCTACAATTATTATTATAAATTTTACAGTTTCAGGACAACCAATGTTGCACATTAATTCAAATTGGTTGATTCAAATCATACATTGAGTACAGATCGGGCCCAATTAGAGTAATTCAGCTTACAAAATCCAGCAGTCACTTTTCTTAATCTAAAATTTTATTTTTGATACATGTGAGTATTAACTATTAAGCATAAACTCTTTCTTTAAAAACAAAAAAAAAAAAAAAATAAAAAAAAAAATAAAAAAAAAATTTAAGCAACAAAATATGTCATGAATCAGACTAAAGTAACGGTTTTTCACCAGCTTCACAACTACCGATTCCTCAAAAAATTCCTTAGAATTGAACAAAATTTCCTTAGAGGAGGAGGTGCAAATGCCCATGACATAAATCAATGTCACAAACTGCTAAAGGAGCCCAGTTGGACGACTAGATTAGCTCATGTATATTGAAAAGACGTGACAGATTGGTTGGCCAACCGTGAAGTTGTTCAAGACTCTCCGGTTCCACCTTCTAGATTTTATCCCTTTAGAACTTAATGTTTGGTTGCTTTGCTGTTTTGTTTTAGTTTGCTAACTTTCTCTTGGATGTATGTCCTCATTAGAATTAAAAAAACAAAACAAAAAAGACGACTCTTTGTTAATAAACTTACTAAACAGATCGAATCACGTATAGATTTCTTGCGACGTAGCAGGTTCTATAAAATTGAACCAACAACATTCGCATTCGCACCAGTGCTTATAAAGCGGATACTAACAAAAATCCTGCCTCTTCCAAATATTCACATCTCCTAACATTAGAAATTAAGCAGCAACTACAAATTAATACAAGTATACAACAGATCTGATTAAATTAACAATAGAATTGTCATTTACAACCCCTGCAGGACCTGAAGTCCTGAACCCTATCAATTATCAAGAACTAAGATCTAACTTTATCCTCTGGTTTCATGGGTGGGGGACTGAAGATGCACATATTCAAAAACTAACAAAAAATTGCAGCAAAAGCTCCAGTGTTAGATATTCTAAAAGGGAGGATCCTTGTTACCATCTTGATCGATATTATGATCAAGATGAGAAAGAGAAGCTGCATTATCCTCAGAAACTTCCAGAGCATCAACAAACTCCACCTCAATAGAACCGTCTTGTGTGTCAGTGTCATCATGCATATCACCAGGACTCTCATCAGCAGCAGCTACATTGTTACCTGGGTTAACTAGGTCATCAACTGATTCAACAGCAATCCAACCATCCGGGGGATCTTCGATAGCACTAATGGCAAGAACAGGAGCCCCAGAACTATCTATGAGATGTCCTCCAACAAGGCGCACCATTAGATTCTGTAGATTGTCTGGCTGCTTGACAAGCTCAAACTTGTGATCCAGAGTATGTTGCTGATTGAAACGACCTGGTCGTTTGGATCGCGTATTATAGCAATTTCCGCAAAGGTCAAATCCCATCAACTCCACACAATCTAGGCATCTGTATCTATTCCCGACTATAGGACACATCTGTGCAAATACAAAACAAACACCAGAATATTAGTCATATATGCTTCATTATCTCACAGAATCAATCAAGTGCAAACAAAAACATCATGTACCATGAAATTTCACAGATAAAGTTGTCAAGTGCATCCAATCAAGGACATCATATTATAATCATCTGTACTCAAAATAGAATTGGTCGGAGCAAGGCTTGATCTTTTATATAACTTTACTTTTGACAAAGCAAGGCTTGATGATCTAGGTCAAAAGGTCAAGAGGTACTTCATGTTTCGAACTGTGCTTTCTACTAGCAAAGCCAATTTCAAAATCTTAGGTTGTTTCCTTAGTAACTTAAGTTGTTGAAATTACAAAAACTTTCTGTGTGTCCACTACTGACATAAATTTTCGAACCAGGTCGCAGCAAACAAGTTCAAAAAGCAAAAGTACACCTGAATCAAATAAAAATATCCATAGCAAGGGATGTCCAAAGATCCTTGAGCATATATTTAATGTCCTGGAATTAGTCTGGTCACTTCCTCAATCATTTTTCATTTATATATTTTCTCGAATCACTTTACTATTTTGACAAGAAATAAGACAGTGTAAGAATAATGAGAATCTTTGCATATAAGTACTCCCTCCGTTCCATAATGATGTTCCTGCTTTCAATCTTTGACTTTTTTACGGAAGAGAGAATCTTCTAAATTTCTCTTAATCTATAAGAGCAAATATAGTCATGTGGGATCTAGTTTGATTCGTCTTGGTGAGTAGATTATTAATATATAACTTTTATAGTTTTTACTAGTGTGAGATTAAAGATATTTGCGGTCAAAGATGGGTAAAATTTTGCATCGATTTGCGAAACAGGAACATCATTATGAAACGGAGGGAGTATGATGGAATAACTACTTAGAGCAATGAAATCACAATACAAATTACAGTTGATAATGACAAAAGCCTTCCAAATATTTGGACTCTAGTGGATCCTATAATACTACAACACATGAGTCAGTATGATGAGTGAAGCATGCATAAGAAATATATATTGTAAAGGAAACCTATATATAGGTTATAATAAGATAACAAAAATGAGGCCCTTACTCCACAATAATCACAACCAGCTCCTGCATGAACTTTTGAACCATGTTCATTCCACCACGGAATGAAGTCTTCACTGCCCCTAAATGGCGTGATGAAACTTTTTTTAGCAGATGCCTTCGAATTGGAACCTGGACCAATGAACAAGAAAAGTCAACTTGGAAACAAAAATTTCTTTTTAACAAGGCATGTTAAGGAAGGTTCAACGTTAGTAAAGCTGTTACTTATGATACTTTAGCAAATTACTTATGGCATTTGGTGTCAATATAATCCACACATTTTTTAGATACCAAAGCGAAATTTCCATCAATTAATGAATAGAAGGCAATTGCTCTAGTGTCATCATCATTTAATTTAAATCTATACTAATAAGATATTACATGTCAGAAATAAATCTCCATTCTCCAATGACATTCATATTGCACAATAACATTAACTTCAGATACAAAAAAAAGCAATACTAGCAACATAAATTCAGAAGCTCCAGGAATTGTATTGCTCATCTCTATACAACAAAATGAAGACAGTCAACTTTCACAAAGAAATTCCAAAATTTTTTGGAAAAGAGCCTGATTAGAAACATGCAGCTAACAATCTCAACACCATATCACCAACCAAGAGGAAGGTAACTGATTAACATGAAATGATAGTTGCATTTATTGATATCAGTCACCACAACTTGACAAAACCTCACTATCTTTGGTTATTTACGAGAATAAATGTACGGCAAGAATTATAACTGGACATAACCATGTAAACCAACATATTTATCTCTAAACCCATCTTAAATCTCATAATTTCAGTAATAATATTTCCAAATTTATATCATCATTTTGTCATTAAAAACATAAGAACAAATTTTCATTTTAAGATATGTTCTACTTCAAATATGTTTTCTAATCAGTAATGAAGTTGATACAAGAGAAATTGGTTATGATTAAAAGCATAGCATTGCAAATACAAGTACTTGGAAAGAGGAAAGAAGAAGAAAAACATACAGGAAGATGGATTCTTATGTTGAAACCGTGCTTTTTTCTCTTCAACACTTTCTTTTTGTGCACCATACTCTTTAGGGAATTGCTCCTCCAAGAAGTTATTAAACTCCAAGCAAATGTTTGGACAGTCACTTGGATGTGGGCACTCACAAACTTTGCATATGATTATTCCGTCTTCCGGAACTATTATACAAGCTTCACAGTAAACTGGCCAAAGATATGAAATAATATGTATATCAATCAAGCAAAATTAACAACTCAATAGCAAGCACAAAAAAACTAATATAAGCATACGACAAAGAAAATTAAATAGAGATGCATTCCCCTCAACTAATGACGAGTTTAAAACATGCACGAACACAAAAAACAAGAGAAAAGGACATAAAGGCATGGAAGATCAGACAATACCATGACCACAATTTAGAACTGCAGGACGATATAGAAGTTCCTTGCAAGCAGGACATAGGACATCACAACTCGAAACCTTTTCCTTATTGATAGCTGATAAATCCTTTTCCTTAATATCATCTGAACCATTACTATACATCTTTGAAGAATTTTCGCCTACCCTAGTGATGCAGGAGGATGAAGCCGGATCAGACATAGCATTGGCATCTTGAGAAGGTTTGGATCCATCAGTACTGTTGTCTTCTTCACAATCAAGCTGAGGTGAGAAGCAATTCCTTGCAGTCTCTTCCTCTGAAACATAAAATAGAGAAGCTTTAGAAACATATTGGGTTACAATTTTTCATTTATAAAAATGACACAGAAACCTGGTCAATTTGAAATCGCACCCTTAAATGTCCCAACACCCCCCCCCCCAAACACACACACTAAAAAAAAAAAACACTCACAGTGCCTAGGGTTAGAGGTGTTTAGGTACAATATGAGGAGAAAAACACAGCACGAATGTGAATTTTGATAGGACCAATGCACATTATAGCTTTAGTAGCTTAGTATATTAACAAAGTGTTACTGTAATGATATTAATAGGAAATGAAAGAGTAAAAACAGCAAGGACAAGTTGTCCTTTAATTTAAAAATTGCAGGATACAAGGAGACAAGAAAAGAGATGAATCAATTGTATCATCGACATCAAAGAAGGTTAATAATTCAAACTTCCAATAAAAAAAAAAAAGCAACTCAACATTACAATGATAAAAGTGACATGAAAAATATCATTATTTGGAAGTAGTCTTACCAAGAATTTGTTTCCCCCTTCTCTTATAGGCTAAGGGATACATCTTTAAAAGCAGGAAGTGCAACATTTCACATATATTTGGAAAGTAATGATATGGATTCCTACAAATTGGGCAATGAGATTCATGGACCATGTCCATAGATTTATGAACACACCAAAAGCAGGAAACATGACCACATTCTGCAAAAACAAATAAGAAGAATTACTACATAACTATAGGAATTTAAATTGCCTTGAATGTTGACACTAGAAAATATTGTACCTAGCACAATGGGCTTGTATAGTAGATCTCTGCAACATAACAATCTAGATGTCAGAAAATATATATATATATATATAGTGAAAATAAACATGATACTCGGCTATATTACTATCAAAAGCTGAAAACAACCCAACTTCTTTCATCACCAAAGAGACATACATCATCATTATAGATTAATGTTCAACTCACCAAAATTTGAAATTGGGAAATAAAAATCAAGAGTTGCAAGAACCAACAACAAAAGCTATTCAAAACGTCTGATCCAAAACCATAACTTTAAATTATAGATGTATGGCATCGTAAAGAAAACATCATGAACTAAAAATTAATTCAAAGCAATTAACACTTGAGTAAAAGCTTTATATTCATTTTTATGCAAGATTGAATCATAAACCGCAACTACAAACTGATTTGGAATGGATAAGGCATAAAACTAAATGCATATATCAACAAAAAGATAAATCTTTACTAACAAGAAGCTCGATATTCTTATGCATCCCCAAAATCAAGTCCCTAAATTGGAATAAAACTAATTTCGCTTTACATGGTGATTTCAAATTAGATTGAACCAGAGGTCCTTCATAAACATTGGATGGCATCTTCTTCACAAATCACGGCATATGATGCATTGATTTTACAAACGAAAAACGAACTTAAGCAATGCCTGACTCCTATGACTGTAACACAAACACAGGAGTACACTACAAACTAAGCTAGACTACACAAGTGGCAGAAAACCCGACGCCACGAAACAATTAACTCCAGCTTATACAGGAGCCCATCAACAAAATAGACCTTGGCGGGGCAAAATTCACAATCACGTCATCCTAAACTAATCAACAAAGCTCAATAATCTAATGCTGAAGAATCTAGAAATCTAGAATCATCATCTTCCACTGAACAAATCATTCCACAACAACAACAACAATTTCAATCGATTTAATCAATGATCATATCAAATTCCACCAAATCAAAAATAAAAAAAACAAACAAAATAAAATTCAGCATCGTTTCGCGGAATTGCGTAATTGCAGCATGAATCATTTCAAATTAAGCAGAATTCCGAATGAAAATTACAATCAAATTAAAATTAAAATAGAAAAACTTACAAGCAAACGCAGCAAATGAAAGAATCAGAAATTGTTTCTTCGTGATGATCAAGTTCCAAGCAATTGGAAGAATTATTGGCCATAACGGAAGAAAAACAATTGAGAAATGACATATGAAATTGATTTGATGAATTAAAGTGTATTGTAGAACCCTAGGAGAGAGAAAATTAAGGAGAAGATTTAGGTAAAGAAAACCCAAGGCAGGTCAATTTTGATTAGCAATTTTTTTGACGGGATAAATGATTAGAAATTTGTTGTAACAAGTTTATCTATTTATTTATATTATTGTTTTTTTTTTTTTTTTTTTTTTTTTTTTTTTTTTTTTTTTTTGTGGTTTTTGACGGACTATTTATGTTAATCACTTAATTGTAATTCTCGAGAAATGGTCGGTAATCTTAGGGGTTGTTTGGTTACACAAAGAAAATGGAGGAAGTCAAAAATCATGGAAATTTGAAAATGGGTGAGTTGTTTGGTTGACACTAAAAAGTGAAAATGAGGGAATTGCAAATTCATGGGAATTGTGACTTTCGACAAAACATGGTAAGTCAAAATTCCCATGATTTGCAACTTCCTTCATGTCAACCAAACAATTTTAAGCAATTCCCATGAATTTGATGTAGGAATTTAATTCCCATGAAATACAAATTCCTATGGGAAGTAAATTCCCATAGCAACCAAACGACACCTTAGTATCCGACTCAAAAATTAAAATAAAGGGGGACATGTGATGATGTGTTTTATAGTGATTGGGTAAGGGGGTGTTTGAGGTGACAACAGCGAAAACTTTTCTGTTTTTAGCTCACTTCATTAAGTTAGTTAGATAATAATCTTGTTGACTGAGGGCCTGTTTACTTCAACTTAATTTCAGTTCAGTTCAGTGTAGTTCAGTTCAACTCCAGTTCAGTTCAGATCCGCTTCTGATTTCCCTCTCTCATAAAATATTCATTTCATCTCAGTTTAATTCTGTTCAACTTTCATCCGTTTAGTTCAGTTCAGTAAATGTGAACATGCCCTCAATAAATTCTTTAGATGCTAATACTTCGTGATTCGTCAAAATTACGGAGTCGTCATAATTTAACAGCAAATTGTTAATTGAATTAGTGATTTTATAAAGATTTTAATTGCGATATTTTACTAGGACTAATTGGGGACTTTTACATGTACGTCATGCAATAGTATGTCTGTGATTAACATTTCACTAACTTATTAAATTGAACATATCTTTAGAGATTAGTTGTCAAATCACACAACCTAAGTAACCTCAACCACATATAGGTTCAATTTCATTCATCAAAGATATCATTAAGTTTCCCTAGCAAAGTTAGGCTTTGCTCTACTCAACTTAATGAAATAAATTATAGTAAGAATAAGTAAAGTAATAACTCATGACAAATTAATGGGTATCAACAAAAATTAGTTTGGTTGAGCAAAATGCATCAACCAGCAAACAGCAAAACTAAGCAGAAGATAGCAAAGCCTTGAACAGATAAAAAAGAACCTCCCCTATTCATATTCGGTCGGTCCGAGTGTTTAAAGTGTTTAACCTCTAAAATGGTGTCTAATCGGTTATTTGATGTGTCAAACCTTTAGTTACAAACTATTCCAACTTTGCTTCATAGATTGGGTTAGCTACAAAGGTGCTTTTTACTTGGAAGCTTTTCCGCCCCACACAGAAATATTCTACACTAAGAAACTGATATCAAAGATTAGAACATTATTCTATATACTTGGATCGTACAATATGTCAATATGACAAGCATAGAAACAGTTTAACCTGGTTTTCAGTCACATGAGCAAATACATCCTTTTGACATGACTACAGATCATAAAGCATGTGCTGCAATTAAATTAATACACCTATAGAATACGCTAGATGACCCAGGGCTCTACAACTTTAAAGCCGGGGTTGTAAAAACAACATTCTATTGACAAGGAAATCTAGGTCAGAGGAACTAAAATAATAAAGGAAGATAGAAAATAGAATACATGAAAATTCAAGCTCAAGGGACCAATACACCATAAACTACAACACAAACATCAATGGCGATACTAGTAAAATTTTCATGAAACACTTGTCTTTGTTGTGCTTCTATACCTCCATTGCCATGCTCCTACTTGAACAAACTGTTTAAATACTCTGAGATGCTGGGTGCTGATTTCTTATGTATAGTGCATTTAGCACGGGTAACATTTCTCATCCTGAAGCTCAAGCATTTATTTCTGAGACTTCGATGAACTTTTGGAACAATACTAGTTAGGATTGAAGGGTATTGAACTTAACCACAATCACCCTTTATTTCCATATCTTAACAGCACAGTCATGTCCTGCCGAAGCAACCATTCCGGTGACAGATGCTGTTAAAGCTGATACAATATTATCATGTGCTGGTACCGTCATGCTCCTATTGTCAGCCATGTTCCACAATTCCAAGGACTGACAAAATTGAAAAACTCAAGTTAATAAGTTATTGTAAGCAATTCTGAGGGCTTTATTTTTAGCAAGACAAATATCATCAAACTTGAGCCACATATTGTTATGATTTCTTCACATAAATGAGAATAGTCCCTGGAAAATAAACAGCAGCAAGCAAAAAAATCTCCATAGATCAGCTCTTAAAGTCCTTTTCGATGGAGCGGATCAGTAGCAGTAGTCAAATATTGGTAAAACTGATAATAAACACCTAAGTAAGGCTATAATACTGGAGACAATATATGCTGTCATACTAGCATTTAAATCATGGTGTGCTTGCCTGCTTGGATAGTGACAATTAAAACTAATCAAGTGTGACCTCAATGGTAAAGCGCCCAACACCAAACCATTTGAACTTGGGTAGGCATCTGTTTCTTTTAGAGTGGGGATGGTATATGATGGTTTGTAATGTTCTCTCTAGGCCTTGAAATTTTTAGCCTTTGGGCTGGGATTTTCTATGGGATTAGTTTTTCATAAACCTATTAACCTACTGGCTTGGGGGCAGTTCCTTTCAGTTCGTTAGATGTAAGATTCCCCTCACCCCAAACAATGGCACATCAGAAAAAGCAACTTAAATCTTTCATTCAAGGATAGGAGTTACCCGTGTGCCTCCAACCACCAAGAGCGTTGGGAAACTGGGATGAAAAACACATGAATGGAACTGATTTCCATTCGAGCACAGCTCATGAATGCAGTCTCCTGAGGTCAATGACCACACTTTTACACTATCTTGACTGACAGATGCCAGAAGTTCTCCACTTGCATCCCAGCATATGTAGTTTACAACATCAGAGTGTGCCTACTCACATTAAAACATGCAGCATGTTAAGTTGTTAACTGCAAAATTTAGTGCATATATTATAAGGCATATGCTTCACTGGTAACACTATCCAATGCTAGCTCTTCAAACTAACCTGGAAAGAGTGCGTTGGCCTGTCTGACTCAACATCAAATATAGAAACAACTTTATCTGATGCAGCTGCGAGAAGCTGCCCTACTCTTGGCTGAAATCTCACTTGTGCAGTACCACCCTATTATTCCAAAAGAATAGTGTCATTGATGCCAACTAATAATCAGTATGTGTGTAAATGCTTAGTAAATGTGTTTTTAACATAATTGTAAGGCCTAATTATCTTCACCTTTTTTTTTTTTAAATCAGGAACTGAAAATATTTTTTCTGATTAAACTGATTTTAACTGTTGTATATTAATTAGAATCGAATTTTACTGGTAATAGCAATAAATTTGTTTTTACAGATTTAAAACTTAAGTACTTTCTAAGGTGAAGAGAAGTAGAGAGCATGGGCTCAGTATTACAGAAAAGCAATGTAGGGACAGTCAACTAACCTTTGACATGCGGATACAGGAAAATGGACTCATGCTCCAGTAGTGAATATCACTGTTACTGTCGCAAAAACAAAAAAGATCATTCTTTTTAGGGTGGAAATCAAGAGACATAACATGATTGCCTCGTCCAGGATAGACATTCATACAATGGCTGGGCTGCAAGGATAGAATTGAAATGATTAGTCAGATATCAAAGAGCAAACAAGAAGTATTTGGTGTAACTTGCAAACTGACATTGGATGCATCCCATAATCGCACAGATCCATCAAACGAAGCCGTTGCTAGATGAGTTGAATTTGGCCTGAAACGAACATCCGTTATTACAAGTGTATGATCCTCAGGAGTACTCTCTGTTTGCAGAGTGTCCATGTTCCAGAGAACAGCCTAATTACAGGGGGAAATCACATTAGAAATTCAGCCATTTGCAATCTTACAAAGGGCAATAACCAAATAGTGCAACATTGAAAATCAAGCTAGGTAACCCATCCAATCCATACAGCAACTTATCTTATCTTATTGCTAGGATTAAACAGTTAACCAATATTCCTTCTCAATTGTATGCACATCACTAGGTTCAGAAGGAAAGTCATACAACTTTGACATGATTAAAGTAACTTAGACAACTGCAAATACTAATCCAGGAGGATGCAGCACCATTTAGACAAGGTAATAGAGAAATGCAAGTCTTAGGGTTAGTGATTCTGTATAATATGTTCAGCCAAAGAAAGAAAAAGTAGAACACACTTAAGCAGAGATACTGATTACTTAATGGCAGGTGATGAATAAAACACATAATGCATACCTTTTTGTCATGCCCCGCACTTGCTAAATACTTCCCATCTGAAGAAAAATGGCAGCTTGTGACCTTATTTCTTGTACGTATACAACCTACTTCAGAAAATGAAAATCCTGAAAAAGCAGCAGCTTCTATGAGAATTAGAAGGAAGTAAAAAATTGCCAGAAGCATGCACAATAAAGTAACAAAAGACAGTTACCCTTGGAGGGCTCTGGTTTTGGTTCAGCTGGACTTTGTTTTATGGATCCATAGAGATCCTTTCCATCTCCTCCGTCATGTGACAAGAACGACTCCACGTTATCATCTAGAGAGCCAACATCTCCAAACTGCTCTATGTCATCCTACAAAAGAAATGGCATCTTGATCAAATTATCTAATTGACAAATAGCATTTTTGTGGTGATCATATGGTGACGTATCAGCTAACACAAATTGATCTTCCAAATTGGTGATCAATGATATTTCCCAACTCATTGAGGAATGAGTAGCTATCAGTTCATCTTACTAATAAAATTATACTTCCTCCGTTTTTTAATAGTTGCAACACACACTTTTCACGGTATTTAAGAAAAATGGGGTTCATATGATATAATAAACTTTAAAATGAGGTGAGTGGTTGTTAGGAGTATAATTTAGTGGGCCATGTGATTTAAAGAAGGGATATGGTACATCTTTTTCCTAATATAACTTTTCATGTATAGTGTGTTGCAAGTATTGTGACAGTTCCATTTTAGGGAAGTGTTGCAAGTATTAAAAAATGGAGGAAGTATTAATCATGAATTATGACCCTTCTCAACATCATAATAAAGTGTGCTTCTGGAATGCACAACCATACCTGCAATTTTATCATTAACCTTCTGTATGTACAGAATAAGTTTTTGATGATGGGCCGGTGTGTATTATTGTATATTATGTGGTTTGGTTTGCGTTGGCATGGATAATTAACAATATCATGGCAAGTGGTGATGAGGAAGACTAAGTAATGTAAGTGGGCAAAGGATAGATGTTAGTTATGTTCACTTTTATTGCCATCTTATAATCTTATATGACCCTTATAACCTGAAAGTCACCATAAGTATTTTCTTTTTAAATCACAGCTATTAGGTTTGACTGATAGTCAAAGGTTAACTATTACATCCAACTATCCAAGAGATTGAGGATTCAAGAATAGGTAGACTCTTTCAAGTAATAGATACATTGATTCTTCAAAAAAAGATGCACACATACCATTTAGGATCAATACCGCCATCAACGCAAATTCTAAATATCATAAGAAACAAAATGTCATACCAGCTGATTTGAAGATGAAGCCAGTGCTCCGGTTCCTTCAGCACCATACATCAATAAGCTTTTAGGCATGCTGTTAACCTGCTGCAGACTGTTTGCTGGTCCAATCCCATCACCAGGTGTATGAGTTGATGGAGGAGAGTTAGGTGAGGGGCCTACAGTGTTGCCAGTTCCTGTACTGTTCGCTGGTCCAGAAGAAGAATGTTGTTTTCTTTTTCTATTGTTCTGTTGGATACAGAAAATAATTGAGAATTAAAATCTTACAGGGTGGTTAGATAAATCTGAATAAGTTGAGATAAATGACATGCCATAGTCTCAATACACGCCATGTAGAGGGAAAAGAAAAAAAAAAAAAAAATCAAGTGCTTTACAGTGAACAATAAGGAGGGTGGGGGTATGAAGGGTGTAAAGGTTTTATAATTTTCTCTCTAATGGACAACCTGTTGTATTTGCTGCTGCTGTAACTGATCTTGCTGCTGAGAGGAAGATTGTTGCATCTGACCCATCTTCATCTATGAATACACATGCATGAAGAATAAATCAATTAATCACGTCTCTAATATCATAAGCACATAAAAACAACCAAAATTCTGCTGAAACATACATCCATTCTAGCTAATATTTTACAGGGAACGGGATTGTGGATACAGGCATAAATTTAATAATAAAATTATTAATTGTACTACAATCCTTTTTTACTTTCATTAATTCTCTTTCGAAAGGACCTACAATATTATTTATGAATTGCAAGATGCTCCAGGCAAAGAGAGGAGCTTATAGGAAGGCTTGGAGAGAAGTTTAAAAAAATTAAATAAAATAAAATAAAAAAATGAATTCACTTGACAAGTGGAGACAAAATTAATGACCGAATGAATAGCCCCCGCTCCTGCTTGGGGAGTAAGTTATATAGAGTTATCAATGTCGTACAAAGCAGCAAATGCCCAAACAACAGATTTTGTTGACAAAATATTGATCTCTGCATCCAAACCACCTAAACTCAAGCCTTTGCATGGATTTCTTGCTACGGGCAATCAAATTCAGCATAAATTAATATTGTTTGTAAGCAGTAAGCCAGAGTCATATGATTATTGGGATTCTAAAGCCTCTAGGTGTTGAAGTATATGCTATATAACTAAAATGATCACAAATGTCAGCCTTAATGTTGCAGCTCAAGCAACTGAAAGGAGGTAAAAAATAAAAAACCTGTGGTGAACTCGATTGCATTGGAGAGCAGACATCATTTCTAGCAGATTGAGCTTCTTTTGTATTCATGCTACCCTTTGGTAAACCATTAAATCTTCGAGGATCATTATCTCCATAGCTTGGTGAACTTCCAAGGCTGTTTTGTGCCTGAGCCTGTGACAGGACTTGTTGCTGCTGAGCCGCCAAAAGAATTTGATTTTGAATTAGAGGCTTCTGTGGCATCCTCAAGGTGTCAATTCCCTGTTAATAAACTCAAGACATCTACACTAAGAAGGTTTGAAACAAATGATAGTACACATCTATGGACCTTACGAGGGGACTTACAGTTAAGGGCCAACCCTTCAAAGGAAGACTGTTGATGCCGGGATTCAAACCTGAACACAGAACTTCATTAATATTATGAACTGTGAAGCCAATTCTTTGTATCATTGAAAGTACAAAAAATTATGTAGGAAATTCAAATTCAGAGGGCTTAAACACAGAAACTAACAAACAGGCCATACTATATTAATTATCAGTGTCACCCACTAAATAGAAAACCAATGAATTAAAATGCTTTGTGAAATTCTGGTAAGAATGACTAATAAGAAAATTTTAGCCCATCACCAAGTCAATCTCAAACAGTAAAAAGGACATAAGAAAAAGCAGTCTTGAGTCTTGACCATGCCAAGAACTTGTGTGCAAGTTTGGTCATATGAGCATGACCCACAATACCACAAGTCAAGACAGACTGCCAAAAAGGAAATGTGTACAGTGTACATGTTCTGACAAAGTATATTAAGCTAAGTTTTGCTTAGAGTAGAAAGGATCTACTAAGGGCATTATCGCTTTCACCAGGGCCTCATTAACTGTTTGACACGCCTTGAAGAGTGAAAGGGGCAAAACAGTACTTTGATCGTTTGACCTCTTATAGAAGATCAGTCTTGTCAAGGTCAGAGAAAGAAGTGCCAAAATACAACCTAAATTATAATTTAAGCCATCAAAATCCTTTACTCCATTATTTCACCTTCCTCGGCAACATGTATAACCTTTGACATAATGTGCTGAGAAAATGAAGACAGACCGGGCAGATGCCGGGGGGGGGGGGGGGAGGGGGGATTGACATTGAAATCATTAAACCCAGAAGAAAAACAGGCAGAATAGTATAGTATGCATTCTTTAAAATATTAGGAGCCAAGCTGCACCATACAACCCTTCTATTTGTAGGCACTGCTTTCCTGTACAAGAGAACAGCCTACCATTCTCCTTGTCATAAATCATCATTCCATGATAAGGCAAAGATAATCTCAGCAACTCCAAGAAGATGTAGAATTTCTAAGATACTTTTGGGACAGAGGGAGTACTCCTATGAAATTGTATTTCCCCTCTATTAAACTCCAATAACCTTAAATATATAAAAAGATATATTTTCTACGATTGTAGTCCTGCCACCGTCCAGATATAGATAAATGAGGAAATCACCACTTATAATGAACTATCAGTGTTTGCCACTTAATCATCAATACCTCGACCAGGAACATAGGTCTTCATGCAAGGCAAATGAAAATAAAAAAATGGAGTATCAACTGTATCATATAAACATCAGGAACCTATGGATGGATTCAAATATTGTAATATCCGAGAATAATAAGAATAGAGGTAGACGTAGCTAGGGTACACAGGTCAGAAATCATAGTTACTGTCAAGCTTAGTTTGACAGTTAGCTAGATGACGAGAAGATCATAAGTATCTCAGTAGCAGCATGCCACAGCATAAACTATTGAAAACAGCCATTATAAATTAATGCCTTCAACAATATATTAAGGGTTAATAGGCACTGGTTGTACTGACAAAACAAAACACAAGGAAATGTACTTGAGAGAAGCAGAAATCCTCAGACAGAGAAAGGGTAGCTACGGGAAGGCATGGCTCCAATACGAGTACGACTAGCACATAGATAGCTACCCAGCTTTCAAATATACTGCTATCAACATGATAGAGTGAAGAGGAATCACGTAGCCAAAAAGACACTTTTATAGTAAAAAAGGCCTCAACACTGGTAAACTGCTTTAAGTTGTCACTTTTTTGCAGCAAAGGACAAGTAGCTAAAGTCTTTGAGTGATTAAAACTACAATCAACCCAAAAGAAAAATGAAATCTTTGAGGTATAATTGATGGAAAGTGAAAGAATAAAGTCTAGTAGAGTAGTGCATAACTCAATTGTAGACCTTAGATGGCTTGTTTAATTTAAGATAAAAAATAAGAAGAATGAATATTACTTTAGGACCTTTAACAGTGACATGTAGTTAGCTTTGGATGTTTGGAATGACTTTCTAATATTTTAATTTTGGAGTCCCAGCTTACTAAAGTTTGTAAAAAAAATTAAAAAAAAAACATCTAAGATGTTACATACATCAATATTACTCTTCAAAATTCTAATAAACTATAAATCTTGTGCTACAGCCTGCAAATTAATTCCTTATATTAAAGAAAGGTGTTTTTGGAAAGACTTGTCTCAGAAATAAATATGACTTCACTTGAGCAATCCAAAAATTTAGTGTGAATGTTAATTGTCATAATGAGAAAGGGAGAGTATGACCATTCTCATCAATACATTGCCTTGGTACCAAATGGCTGCTAAGAAGTTATTTTGAAGACATATTCATCCTCGTCGCATCACATGCAAAAACTATCGGCTGTGTCAAGTGCTTTACTCGCACTGCATAGCGTCAGCTGATCTAGTATATTCATACTCTCTCGTACAGTAGTATATCTTTTCACTTATGGATCATTCATTCCTATCTATTATCACACTTAATGCAGAGAAAAGAGAATATTGCAAAACATCATGTTAAATCTGACCTGCACTCCCAAGTCCAGATTTTGATTGCAAAATTGCCTGACCATAAATGGAGGAAGGATCCATGGGTAATGATTTCTGTGCTCCACCTATGCTCACCTCACTCTTGATATCCTGTACAGTCCATATGTTACACACATAAACCATTGGTTACAAGGCAAAGGCAAACTCCCTGACAGCAGAAATAAAAGGAAGGAACATTGATCATAAAAAGGAATACAGCTAACTAGAACTACTCACAGATGTCATATGAGGCCGTGCCTGGATTTGCTGCAAGGCTGCAGACATTCCCCCTGAATTACCTTGGATCAACTGGCTGAATCAACAAAATTGACAAAATATATGATAATGTTTCAACACTAGGAAAAAGTAGGAGAATAACACCTTAAGCTAAATCCATGATAATTTCGCCAAAAAAAAATTACCCTTGCGGATTGTTTGCTGATTTGAGGAGGGCCATCCTGTTATCCATGATACCTGGATACACATCTAACTAAATTAGAAAGAGATTTATCACACGTCATTTATTTTATTTTATTTTACACAACATCTATCATCCACTGTTTAATAAATTATTTTTACACACCGTTTACAGGACCACCAAGGGGAGGATGGTTAGGACCGCCTCTCTGCATCTGAGCATTCCGCTGCTGCATGAGTTGCATCTGGTGCATTTGCAGCTGTTGCTGCTGCTGCTGTTGTTGCTCTCTAGTCTTCATTTGTTGTGTCTGATTTCCAATAAGAAGCGCAAACTCTCTAATAAGCCCTTATTTTTTAGCCATTATTTGCATACTTGACATGCCAGAAATCAATTTGTCTCACTTAAAAAACATTGCACCACTATCTGTCATTTGGAAATTCCAATGCAATATCTAAGCTCCTAGGTCTGAAATCATCAGTCACATCGTCCCATTATGAAGAATATATCATGATTTGCTAAATGAGCCATGCACTGCCTTAATTCCCTTGTAATCATATTCATTTCTTTAGTTACTCTTTAACTCCATGCTTTAGTCCTATTTTGGCAAACTTTTAATCCCACCTTAACCTTTCCTCCACATACAAATCTCACATGCTACTCTCTCTCCTACTTTTTCATACTTAAACCTCACATGCACCTGAACTCTTCCTACCCCACACAATCCCTCATGCAACACTTTCTCTCAAACTCTATCATACACAAATTCCACATGCAACACACCTTATAGTACTTCTTACACAAAACCCTCATGTAAGACTCTATCTCCTACTTTTTCTTACACAAACTTCACATGCAAGTATGCAACACTCTCTCATATCCACTTAGGCCATGCAACAAACAATAATTCTGATAAACATAAAGGAGATGAGGTAAATATTCAAATATAAAGCACAATCCAATTCTATTTAAAATAAATTTACTTCAAACAAATTTTTTTTAAAAAAATAACAATTGTTTACATGACTTTTATGTCAAACAAATGAACAACTCGCAAAGGGATAAGGAGGCAGGCAAAAGCAAGAACACAAATGATACAAGCCAGGTTAAAGGTAGAAGGTACCTCAATATAAGCTGCAGCAGCTTCAGAATGTTTTTCATTTGTTCTAGCAATAAAAATGTCCCAGAAGACAGACCACCATTCAAAGAGAAACCCACCAGGAGCATCAATAGCTGCAATGAGACAATGAAAATTAAAAATGATTGTCATAGTGATTCCCTTTTGATCACTGGCTGATGATTTAATCGACAAAGCTGGTGTAAGGATATAAAAATTACCAACTGGATCAGTAGCCACCTTCCCTTCTGCCATAAATGCTTTGGCAGAATTATGCAATTTTCTTTTCAACAAATAATCATGGATATAAACATCCAGCCTACAAAAGAAAAAAAAATCATTTTAGAGACACACATTGCAGCCTAGAGTCGCTTAGAACCTGATTACTCGCAAGCATACTATTTTACATCCAAAGCTTGTTTGCTCAGGTAGTCAAACATTCATACCATAAATTTGTACACGATAATAGGGAATGGAGCCAGAATCCAAAAATCTAAAAGTCCCTCAAAATAAATGTGAACTTCTAATCAAGTTAACTCCCATAAATAATTAACTTTTTCACGTGATTAGCGAAATATAGTTCACCCTTTATCAACCAAAAGACGGTGCTTTTCTCTAAAAGCTAACTCTGCCCGCAAAAATAATAAATTTACGCTATTTGCCTATTCCAGAACACTTACTCACCTCTACCAGCTACCCTACAAAACTACTTCATCAAACACCTTTTTTTTTTTATTGATTTTTTAAGCAAGTCCCAACTCTAAAAGCTACTTGAAAAGTTAAGACTGAGCATGACCTTTATCATGACTGCAGGACAAGAATATATTAACAATTTATCCATGCAAATTAGACCAATTAATCAAAATAATATTATGAGGGAGAGTAGGAGATTGCACTGTTTGCACATTTACTTTAAGATACGAAATACTCTCCATCCTGAATCACTATAATTGTAGCCATTTCAGGTCTTTTTTCCAATCCACTTTCCTTATATAGTACTTCCTCGGTTTAATACTTCATAAATTAATAAAACTTAATTAACTTTTATGGTCAAATCTTGTATACTTATATCATGTAAATGATCGATATCCAACATGACTCGATACATATCTTAGCTTCAATAAATCTAGCAATTAACGAGCTTTGTCCCATTATAATCAAATATCCCCTATGATTTTGATACCAAAGCAGTAAAATCGCGATTTTCTCACACTAAAGTCAATTAGATTCTAAGTAATCTAAATAAATTAATTTTTCCACTTATTAAATACAAGTATCTAAATTGCAACCAATAATTATTACTACTTCAAAAAAAAAAAAACCTACAAGTCCTCAAAATTCAACCTTAACATATATTTTTTCGAGGTATACAAGTATATAGCACGGAAACATCCATCTACGACTAAATTCAACAGCGATTGAGGTCAAAGGTAACAATGTTTTAGTACAACAGTCTTTATTTTCAGTCAACATAAACGAAATAAAGCAATAAATCTCAACTCTTACATCTTATCAGCTTCCCAATTACTCTGCGCCATTATTACTCGCTCGATCTCTCTCTCTTGTCTGAAAAAATCAACAATTCCGATAATCAGAATTACCTTTTATAATCCACTTAACATTTAATTAACACAAAAATTACTCAAAAAATCACAAAAAAAAACGCAAAATTAACACAATTTTCAACTCAAGCAGAAAACAATCACTGCATTTTCAATTAAACATCATTAATTACAAGATCTACACACAAATTAACGAAATTCATGCTAAAAACACAACGTATTTGTTAAAAATTAAAAAAATAATAACAAAACAATACAACAAAATTAAAATTAACAAACAGAATTTAAACACAGAAGAAGAGAGGAGATCTCTGACCTGAAATTAATAGAATTAGAGTAGAAGAAGATGATCAAGGAAGAGAGAGAAAGAGGAGAGAGAAAATTTCTGGAGGAGTGAAATTAGGCTCTCGAGTGGAGAAGAAATTGGGCTGAGAGAGAGTTGAAGAAAAATGAAAAATGAAAATTAAAAAAAAAAAGAAAAAAAAAGGTGGAGTTAAAAAGTGGAAAAAAATAAGGGAAGATATGAAGAGAGGTGGATACAGCACACACAGCTGTTTGAGTAGAGTTGTGACGATTGAATTTTGAGTATAAGTGTGAAGAGGTTGGGTTCGGGTGGAGTGTTTGATCGATATTTACTAGGCTCGGAATATGTTGCGTTTACCTCTTTTTTAGTGCGTCGTAATAATACTAGTACCAAAGTTTGATCATTTCTGTGTCACCATATGTGTTAATACAAGAGGACAAATAAAAAAGGATCGCCTGGATCGGTGAAGTTGGTGAGGAATTCACGAGTTCGTAAGGTCGAATTCTTTTGGCTGCGAACTGTGGTTTTAAATATGTAGCTGTACAATATTAAAACTAAATGAATAGAAAAACTATGAGAGTTAATAGGGTTTTTCTCTCATTAAAAAAATTTTAATTTTTTTATGTGTGTTTTATTCCACGATTTTGGATTTGTTAGCTGGTGAAAATTATTCATGTTCATCAAGAAGACAATTTAGTGGTGGATTGATTCTTAAATCTAGGTGTGATTTAGGAGAGCAATGCTCACGTGATATACGATATTCTTTCAGTTTTAGGTAGCTTTTAGACGAGAATATTATGGGTGTGGCGCATGGCCTTTTTCATGCCTGCTTTCACCCTTTATTTCGTTTTCTTTTAGCTTTAATTTTTGTTATTGGTGAGGAATTCACAAGTTTAAAAGCTCGAATTCTATCAATTATAGACTTGGGGTGAGAATCCCTTTATCCTCCCCCCCCCCCCCTCTCACTCCCAAGAATCTAGTCTACAAATATTGGACCACAAAACCGTGAAGGTTGAGGTTTGACCATGGTTCTTCTCTCCTTACCATATAAATAAGTAAATAAATAAAAGTCTTAACTTGCCTTTTGTACACAATATTAGAGAAAGATGAATTAAAAATACGTAGTAAGATAAGTGGAGATTTGCTGATTTGTGAAGATTATCCATGTTTATGGAGAAGGAAATCTAACGGTGGATTGGCTTTGCAAATCGATGTGACGTACTTATGAGAGCAACTCTCACGTTATATACCATATTCCTTCAGCTTAGGTAGTTTTTGAAACGAGAATATTGTGGGTGTATGAATGTGGGTGCATGGCCTTATCATTCCTGATTTTCATCCTTTATTATGTTCTCTTTTAGTTTTAACTAGGGAGGCTAGAGCGCGCTACGCGCGCTTTTGGTTTGTAAATCGTATGTGTTTGTCGTGTTTAGAAATGTGGCCATATTGGGGGTTTCACGAATTAGAAATCTAATTATGCTATGATTTGAAACTAATACTTAAAATGTGTGGTTGTGGATTGCAATGGAAGAAAGTGGTTATTGGTAGAAAAAGGAAACGTATAGAACTATTATTGGTAATATTATTAGTGTTTGCATACCATAAATTTAGTGGAGACTATTGTTGTCATTATAAAAAAAAAACAATTATATATATCCTATATGATATACAATATGTTACGATGGTATTGGTAAAAAAGCCATTTAATTACGCTATGATTTTAAAATAATATGCAAAGTGTGTGGTTGTGGATTGTGATGTAAGAAAGTGGGCATCGCTAGGTTTTGTATACAATAAATTAAGTGGATTTTTTCTTGTTCCGAAACAATAAAAAATAATGGATTATGTTTATCATATATGATATACGATATGTTAGGCTATTTATTTTAAGTGACACAAAGTGAAGTAGTTTTGTTTTAAAAAAATAAGCCTTTTATTGTTACGTGAAAGGAGTTTTTTTAAAAAATGATCGTTTTAAAGTTGCTGGGGAAATTATAATTTGTTTAAATATAGTTTTGTTTTTTCGATTTTCCTATGCGCTAAATTTATTTTAACAATTTTTAAAACCGTTGGAATTGAATTATTTATATGTAAAGTTATAATCCGAATGTATTCTCGTACACGTGCGTTGTATGAAACAGTGCAACTTATTTTGTGCTTCTGCATGTTATGATAGACAAATGAAAAGACATGTTAGGAAGAGTGATGGTTTGCTTAGTGACGGTTTACTTAGGAAGAATTGGAAGAGTCGTTCATTATTTTCACATATCCCCAAATTCATTTTGCTCTCTGTGAAAGTTGAAAAGGTTTTCTTTCCTCTTTCATTTTCTTTCTCTCATCCTCAATTGAAAATTTCAGTTTTACAATGGCTGGAATTGGTGACAATGATACGATCTTTGATGACTGGTACCGTAATTTTCTGCTGAAGCGCAAAGACAGCCTTCGTGGTCAGTATGTGGCTTGGGCGGAAATTCGAGCACAAGCGTCAAAGAAGATGGATGAAATGCTGGATGCTACGAAAGATTGTGATGCACAGATAGCCAAGTGTGATGAGGTTGCTCGAAAGAAAAGCAAGGCTGAAGAGGCAAAACCCGGAAGTAAGGGTAAGGAACCTGAACTCGGAAGCAACTACGATACTCCAATTAAAGTGGATACTGAAAGTGATACTGATGAAGAGCCTGTGAGAATGAGAAGGATTGTAGGGGTTCAAGGTGAGCCATCTAAGTTTAGGGGTCAATGTAGCGGCACAAAGTTGGTGTTTGGTGCTGGGGTTGAATCAGGGGATGCTGATATGGATATCAGCGATGATGAAAGCATGGTGAAGCATGTGATTGATGTTACGGTGGCTGCACTTGTTGAACCAACAGAAGATGAGCCTGCTGTTGGGGGCGAGGGTGCTGGTGCAGGGCAGCAAGGGCAGCAACAAGTGCAAGCTAACGAGGAACATGAGTCTGAAGAGGAGCAAGAAGATGAAGAAGGAGAAGCTGAGGAGCAGGGCAATTCTTCGGACTCTTCTGACATTTCTGGAAGCGATGACGGATATTACGGTTTTGATTCCGATTAAGCATTTTTAGTTATTTTTTAAAGTACTTTGGCTAGGTTGATATGAATGTAGGGGTTTTAAAATATGTAAAGACAATGTTATCTGTTTTTAATTTTGATTAAGTATTCTATCATGTTTGATTTTATGATCGCGGTAGATCATAAGTACTTTGGCTGAATATTTATTAATGATAGAATGTATGCTTTTGGTTGCTAATCTTTGAATTTTTAATTTTTTTGTTCCTCATTTTTGCTATTTAGTTTTTGTTATTTAGTGTGAGTGACTGTGTTTACTTGTTTGTGTCTAGGTGTTATTGAACAATGCAATATTAGGTGTTATATGTTAGGAAAAGGTTTGTGGGTTGGCTTTGATTCAGCCTGAAAATAGGATACACTGGCTGGATTATGTAAAATCTTTTTTTTCCTATTTAGTGTTCCCTAAATGCTCTGTAAGTTAGATATGTTCATGCTCTTGGTCTTGGTATCTTGTCTGCAGCAAGGTCTGGGATTATTTACATAGTGTCGGGCATCAACAGTAGTTTGATGGCCATACTCTTTGTCCAAAATAGACTTGATGGTTTCTCTGCAGCTGCTTTTCTTGGCTTGATCAACCTTCTCTTTTTTTGATCATTTAGCAAAAAGTTTTTCTTTTGCTTATATGCATTAGTAACCTACTTGACTGATATGTTGCTTCTGCATCAAAATTGCTAAAGCGTTGCATATGCGTGCAGTTTCAGGCTGTGACATATATTGTAGCTCTAGCTTGCAAATATTTGGTTGGAAGTATGTAAGTATCAGAGTGATCAATTTCTGCTCTTTCATGCATTAGCCATACAAGCAAACATGTCTGAATGTTTTTGCCAGTCCATTGCATGTGTTGTGCTGATATTTGCAGTAGCTCTAACTTGTAATTGTAGTTGTATACTTCCATAAATTTGATAGCCTACTTAAACTTTATCTTTTAAACTTTACCGTTAATCATGCATTATCAAATGTGTTGTACTCACTGTTGGTGATGGGACACAGAATTATGGTGATGGATCTGGTAACAAGGAATTGCATTCTCTTTATGTATGGTCCTTGGCTGCATTGTGTCTTTATAATGGAAATTGTATTTTGATGTCTTTATAATGGAAATTGTGATAATTATTCTATCGGGCATGTGCTAAAAAAATACCTCTAGTATGCTATCGAATAATCAGAGCAATTAGGGAACTTCAATGCTTGATAGGATATGCTTGAGAGTTGTGACCTGTGTCTCTTGATTCAGGTATGCTTGCGAGGTTTATGCAAAGTTAAATTTCGATGCTATTCTCAACATGAAGCTGCAAGGCATATACATGACAGGATAAGACTTGTTTTTCCTGCTTATGAATAAGTAATGCATAATGTGAATCTTATGGTATTGGGTAAATGTATAGGTCACAATGGAATATATTTCCTCGGAGCGATGAAGTGCAGCACTCATGCTATTGTAATGCTAATAGATAGAGTTGACTGAAATTGTACCTCATTGTTAGTATACAAAACTACAAGCTAAGTATTGTATCAATGTATGTTCATATTCTGTAAATCAGTAGAAATAGCAACAAGTGATATGCAGTGAAATTAATTTTTTGATGAAAATGAATTGAAATTTTGCTAATACACCATGCTTTCATATTGTATTAGCTAATTTTGCTTACACATGAGTCAAGACCTTAGGTACATGCTTACTTTGCACATTTACAAACCATTAACCACTAATAGAATAACCATAAACTATCACCCAAAAAAAAACTCTTAACAGAGTTTAAATCTGCTAGCACTTCTAAAATTTGTCCAAAAAACACCACACCATTAACAAACAAAAACAACAATGGTGTCTAATTCTCTACAGACAATTTTTAATCAGGAATTTTCATAGCAAACATGGAAGAGTCTTCGCTTGTTTCTTGATCTGCTTGTTGATAATTCCCGGAATCGGATTTTGTTCCGGTATCATCATCATCATCATCACACTGATTGCTCTCTGACTCGAATGGTTCATCAGATTCTATAACAGCTTTTTCTTCACTCCGAGTTTCAGACTCGGAATTCACATCACTTTCAGAATTTGTATCGGTCTCGCCTTCCTCAGTCTCCTTTTCTTCTTCAGCATCTTCATCTTTCCCTTTTGACTTACTTCTTTCTTTCTTTCCATCTTCCTCAGTGTCCTTTTTCTCTTGAGCATCTCCATCATGCCCTTCTGATTCACCTGCTTCCTTTGGATGATTTTGAGCGTCATCATTCTCTGACTCAACAATGATGACAGACCAGTCTCCACAACCATTTTTCTCAATTTCTCTTTTCCTTTTCTTGCTTGATTCACCTTTTTCTTTTTTGTTTTTCCCTACTTTTGAAATTCCTTGTTCTAGAAATTCCAGATGACTGTTCATCTTCTCCGTCATTTCCGTCACATATGTACGAAAGCTTGCGACATTCTCTGATTTTTATCTTGATTCATTAGGTCTCCATATCGGCGGTGCAAATACCTTGCCAGAAGTAGCAGTGCTGTCAGTGCTGGCCATTGTTGCATGAAAGAAAGAGGTTTGTTGCAGAGAAAGAAAAAGTTTTGTTGCAGAAAAAGGAAAGAGGAAAAAGAAGATGTAAGCAGACAAGAGAAGCAGAGTACAATATATGGACCACGCAACCCAAACGTTTCAATTGACCAATCAAATAGCAGTTTCAACAATTATTCCAACATGTAAAAGAATATAGATTTACATAGTACAACTTTAATGTACTTGTTCTAAAACAATTTTAAAGCTGAAAATAGTTGTTTTATAACTTTCCTTAGATGCACAACATTTATAAACACGTGTGAATTGGGGTTTAAATTTTATAAGTATGCCAAGCTATTAAAAGGAGGGGGGATGAATAATGCAAAAGTCTAAGCGCGTCAAATGAAAAAGAACATAAAAAGTCGTAGGATGCGTTTATTTTCACTATATCATATGCGATTTGGAAATATAGGAAAGTTCTAAAAGTAAAATAAGTGTATAATTTTAATTGTTTTAAGGGAAGAAAACAAGTTTTTTTTAAAATGAATCTTGCTTAGGTTGTCATCTCGCTAAGCTAATTGTCTTAATTGACTTTGTTAAATTGTTGTAATTGCTCAAACATTTTAACGTGTGTTTTATTATGAAAAAAAAAATTGTAGTTTTGTAACCTATTCCATACTAATTGGGCTTGGTTGTACTTTAGGCTTTTTGTTGACCTACAATATGATTGTGGTAAGTTGACTATTTGTTTTTTGTTTGGTTAACAAGTATGCCTAAAAAACTTGGGCTTACAATAATGCTTAATTTGGTTGGATAAGAAGTAAAAGATAAAGGTTTTTTAGTTATCATTTTGCGGACAAAATGTTATTAAATCAACATTGCAATGTACAATGAACTTAAATCTAAGCATTATTGGAATTGTTTTTTTTTTAAAATTGTTTTAATAAAAACAATACTATTTATTAATTATTATTAGGTATAAAAGTACCTAGTGTGAAAATGTTGAATATATAATAATATGCTTCTTTAAAAGTTGTTTGTAAAATTCTGTCTAAAATTGGAAATCAAAAGGTTTTGGACCTTTTTTTTAAAAGCTATTTTAAAAAGTAAATATTTTTTTTTGTGATATGTTTTAAAAAAATATTTGACTTTAAATTTTTTGTTTTGTGCGTTAGCTTTTCATCTCCTCCTTTCTTTTTATTCTTCTTTCTCTCTGAATCTTTGATTACTGGGTGTAGGGGCTTAGCATATTAGTTTGCCATCTATTAGAGTTTCAGTTACAATTTCACTCTTTAGAAACTCATAATTTGATTGTCAAACTTTGGGCTAAGTGAACATGGCAGATGATATGGAGTTGCGAGATGTTGAAGCACAACTTAATGTGCTGTACGCAGAAATGGAAGCAATTGCAGAACAGGAAAGGATTAAGAGAGAAGAATTGGCAAGTTTAAGGGTAGCGTATAGAAGTAAGCTTCAACAAGCTAGAGTTCTGTCTGATCAGGTTCAGAGGGTTCGTGTACGACGAATGTCTGCGTATTTTTGGAGAGTAAGTGTAGGGCGTAGAAGGTTATATGCAAGGATGGGAGGAATCGGGCGTGATGTTGGGTATGTAGAACATGCTGATGCTGAAGAAGACAGGGCTAGCGGTGTGGGTAGGAATACTGGAGGTGGCAATGAAAGGGATGTTGGTGGGGTTGGAGGAAGACTTGCTGGTGGTGATGCAGAGATGGAGGAAGTGAAACAAGGTGGAGGTGAGGAAGAGAATATAGAGGAAGGGGATGATGTTAATGACTATCATGATAATGATGTGGATGTACATGGTGCAGAGGAGGCTGGGGTGCAGAATGAGGGGCAGGATGCTGGCCATCAACAATCCGTGAGCAACTTTGCTAAGATTTGATAGTTATGTTAGGGGTTTTATTGAGTGATGTATTAATCAACTCTAGGCAATCGACATGGCTTGGGTTTTTTTCTATAAATTAGCATCAATTATGAATGGTGAAAGGATATTGGTGCTTAATTTTGCAGAACTGTATTGTTGGCTATTGTATTTTGAGATTGTAGTGAAATCAAATTGGTTACCTATTTAGTTATTACCAATGAGTGTGATTATTGTCTTATTTACGTATGTATAGAGCTTTTGCATACCTAATGAAAGCAAGTAACATGGTTTCTGTAATTATGAGCAAGTGTTAGTTTAGATGAACTACTACGAGAGGGGGGGTGAATAGTAGTAGGTTCCAATCGTGGAACTTAAGCGGAAATAAGCAATTAAAATGTAAAGAAAACTTAAAGCACACAACAAGTTTTACGAGGAAACCATCCAGTGCCTAATTGGAAGTAAAACCTCGGCCCTATTGGGACTTATAAACAAATTCCACTATAATAGGCAACTCTCCTAGTACAACCTATTACACATACCTTTGCTTTGCAAGTTCCACCACGGACACTTGACTCTATGATAGGACACTTCCTACCAGACCTAAGACACTTCTCAAGACCCTTTTTCTCCCTTTACCCAGGACACTTCCTAGGTGACCCAAGACACTTTTCAGGTTCCTTTTACTCACTGTGCACTCACAGCTACCACTCGAATTTTAGAGAATTCAAACTCATACACTTGTGTGAATTTAAGAGAATCCACAATCTCACCCCAAAACCAATTACAACTCAAAGACACACTCTAACACATAAATGGAAAGCTACACATGAAACCCGAAATCAAAATGATAAAGCTTAAACCTTTGGCAAACTTACTTTAAGCACTACGTGGTTTTCACGCTTTTAAACTCTCATTTTACTAAGCTGGAATACTTCTATATTTATAGGAGTTTCTCAGCTTCTCAAACTAGGGTTTTCGCAAACAAGATAGATCAAACAGAAATCTGATCTTATCTTCCTTAAAACCGAAACCAAACGGATTTAATTTCGTTTTTATGAAAACCAAATTTTATCAAACTCGTTTTTATTAAAAGATAGAATTTTATGAAAAAGATAAAACCAAGTTAAACCAGATTTTATAAAATAAAATCAATTAAGTACTTTTTCATAAAACTTATAATTATCTTTTACGAATTAATTAGTTTGCCAAGCTTTATCTGATTTCTAATAAGTTCCATGCATATCTATCATTTATATGTTTACATCATCCTACGAAAACAAACTTATCTTTTACACAACTATAAGTTATGAAGTCCATCTTCTTCGGTTGATATCTTGATCTTTGTGTTGATCCTTGATTGTTGAGGCTTGCCCTAGCATTACACCAGAACCAGGTCGTTACAACCCGTTTGAAGTTCCTGTTGAGAAACTTCGGGAAGTTCCATTGTTGGAACTCTTCTTCTGTTCTTTACTTGTCCTCATGGATCTTCTAAAGTTCCTTTGTTCCAGTTCCTACTTCAGCCCTCTACGCTTACTGAACCTGCCAACATCACAACACTAGAAAATCCTTATTAAAAGGAAGTTTGCTCAATTCTTAACATCATCATCAAAACCTCATAAGGGTCAACAATTTCCCCCTTTTTGATGATGACAAACTGAGCAAACTTCTGAGGATGATAAGTAAAGAAACAGAAGGTTAATTTTTCATTTTTCAATTTTTCTTTTTTTCATATAAGCAAAGCAAAGAAACAAAACAGAAATAAATAACAGAATGAAAAGAAAATGAAAAACAAACAGAAAGCAAAGAAAGAAAAATTTAGAGAAGAGAACAACCTTTGTTACTTACTCAACTGGAACTAGAACAACTTCAGCTTTCAAGTTTGCTCCTGCTTTTCCCCCTTTTGGCATTATCAAAAACGTGACTTTTCAAAGTTTTATTCATCTACTCACAGTCCCACAGGCAATTCATCGAATGTGGGAAGTTGGAAGCAGCGCTGGCTAGCTCTCTTAAGCTAGTGCTTTCATACAAAATACCCTGTTTTCTCAACAAGCAATGCATGCATATGTAGACAAAGTTCCAAGATTCAAATTAAAAAGCATACAACCATCCAGAAAAGTTAGAGTTATAACAGACCAAGTTCCAAAATAACCAACAAAGTTCCAAAGTCAAACCAAGTTCAAAAACATAGAAAACATAACATTGTTCCGAAAGTCATATGAAATAGACTAAGCTAAGGGATGGCTGGGTTAGGCTGCAAGGATGGTCAGGCATCAAGCGCTTTTCAGAATTTGCTCAAGATCTGCCTTGCTGTCTTCTTGAGCTTTCTTTAATTTTGCTTTAAGGCTTGAGATTGCCTTGTGGAACTCCTTAGCTTGAGCAGCATCAGTCCTCTCCATTGCCTTCAACTTCCCTGTTAACTCAAGAAGCTGTCCTTCAACCTGCATAAGTCTGTTGGACAAGTCAGCAATTCCTTCTTGGGTTCCTTCATCCCTGTTACTTAATTCCACAGGTTCACTTGCACTTGATTTTGCATGAGTTCCACCAGAGAGTCTTCGACTTTTCCTGACAGGATCTCTTGGCAGAGGACTCACTTCCTTTGCCTGTGGTGCAATATACTTAACACACTTCCCCCTCACCACTTGAAGACTTAGCCCCCTCAAAGTACTCTCATTGATCACATTTTCACCTTTTTCCTTCATTCGGCCATAATAATCCACAAGTTGTACACCTAGTTCCTCAAAACTGAAGCAAGGATAGCAGCATACCCTACTTTTATCTCTCTCTCAATACAGTGCTCTAGGTGTTGTATCATCAACGATGGAAAATTTATTTTGATCCTTTTTGACATGCAGAAAATTAAGGCCATATCCAAATAACAGAGTTCATTTTTCTTTTGTGTTCTAGGAACTAAGGATTTCTTCACAAAATTAAACAGTAGCTTATGCATAGGAGACAAATTATTGTGATTCATAATACTCACACCCTTTTTCCCACCTAAGTAAGTTATTACTTCAGTCTTAGTGTG